TATCATCCCAGTCAAGAAAGTGTGGGAGCTAATGACACAAGTTTCCCTATTTGTCAATGGACTTCTTCGGTATTATCTGCCCAGGCCTTCAAAACCAATTTGTTCAGTGGCAGTGAGAAGAGATGGAGCATAACTGGTCACATGCAGAGCAAGCCACGATCAGAACCTGTGGTTTCAGGAAATAACAGGGTGGAAAACTAAGGTTATGCTGCCAATGGGGGTCTTTGGCTAATAGCTGATGCTCATGCTTCAAAGTACTTCTACAATTAGAGCAGGTTTCGTTAACGCTGGAACACATCATTTGTATCTAATGAGGATTAATGTCTCCTTGAAATTGGATACTAAGGAATGTGCGTGTCCCTTGTCCATGCCAACACCACTGCATCTTAACTACAAGCTTAATTGGGTGTAGGGAATTACAGGAAAATGTGCTGTTTTTTTCCTGGCATTATGCATATTATCTTTTATTACCTATTGACCAGGTGTTTGATTGAAAATCTTTTCTCCTCACTGTTAAAAACAGAAACTGGGTAGCAAGTCAGAACTGGAGCATCCTTGTTACTCTTAGGGAATATTTATTGCCTCAGCCTAATTAATGTTCATTTATAAGAAGTATTATAGTTTGTATCAATAAAATAAAAAGTGTTTAGGGGGGGCTAGGTACCACACAAGCAACAATAAAGTCAAGGTCTCTAGCATTATGCTTTGCCAGGCCTTTGTGCTCTTGCACCTTTCTGTGAAATTTCAAGTGTTGAATGCTGTCTTGTGGAGGAAAAAGTGCTTCTCCTCCATCCCACTCAACATACTAATGTCGTTTTTATAGTTTTCCTAAGAGTGTATTTTTCAGATACTAACAAGGAATGAAAGAAATATAAAATAGCATGTCATAAAGCAGAAACATACAGTGGAAAAAAAAATTTCTGCAATGCATAATCATCGTATCACAGCAGAATATTTGTTTGTTATACAAGGCAATCTTGGTGTGTTGGTTTTCTTCCTGGAGTTTTAGTGTCATTTTCTTTACGTCTGGTGACTTAGTTAATCTTAGTTTCTCATTAATTTTTTGTGTTGTTGGTATAGGCACTGTACATAAAGTATACACAAATAAATGAAAGGAACATCATTCTTACTATTGCTCTTTAGTTTTAAAATAAACTGTGTTATGCTATTATCTATTAAAATGTATCTAGACTCACCACCTAAAAATAGAATCATAAAATCACAGAATGGTTTGGGTCAGAAGGGACGCTCAAAGGTCATCTAGACCAACCTCCTTGCCATGGACAGGGACATCCTTCACTGGATCAGGTTGCTCAAAGCCCTGCCCAACAGAAAATGTCCACTTGAAACCAAATGTAGAATTTAAGCAGATATAATGAAATTAAACATTATCTACAAGCACTTAGAAACAGTATTACTGGGACTTAAAGGGATTACATCTCACCTAAAAGAAAGTACCTGCCATAGCAATGATTTCCAATAATGATCAAAATTAATCCTTGGGCTGACAGCCAACACGAATCCTACACATAGTTTAAAAGCTTAAAAATCCATAGACAGTTAAGTGGGACTTTACATCAGTAAGGACTCTACATCAGTAGAAGTGTGATTACGGGCTGTTCCTACACGCAGGAGCAAAATTCTTACCACAAATTTGAGTATTGCTTTAGTGCTGACTGAAAAAGGGAGGAGTAGGACACGGGATTTCCCTTCCCTTCCCTTCCCTAAGTCCCATGTGATTTTCCTGGAAGTCCTTTTATCTGTGTTCTGCCCACTCTTTGTTTATGGCATCTGTCTGAGAGGTTACCAGCTGAGGAAGTGTAGTTTACCAGCTGATGTATGGAATTAAAGTCAAAATATATGTCATGAGTGTGAAGCACAGAAGACAGCAATTTTCCATCCATTATTGAAATTTCAATTGTTAAATGAATCCCAGCTGGGTTTGTCAAAGAGACTACTTGATGTTTCTTGTACAGAGCCTGAAATTGAGTCTCTTGCTATGAAGCAGCAGCATTCTTCTATAAGAGATAAGCAGTTTACATTACATCACCTGCTGAAGATTAAGCATTTTATATGCATTTGCTTAATTGATGGCTTGTGACATTGGAAAACAGTACATGATCTATGGAAAATCTTCAAGTATCTGCTTGTACTTTCTGAAAGAATTCTAAACTTTCATTAAACATAAAACTGAGAATAAGCCACTTGGGCAGCAGGTTTTTCACCATGCACAGTGTTTCCAAGCACTGAGATCACAAATACTGAAACACCATCAGAAGTTCACTGATATTTAAAACCTGTACACCCAGGCAAAGAGTTTCTGAATTTTCAAAACTTCTGTAAATGATGATAAAGATACAGGTTAATTTTTTAATGCCTGGCACATTCGACTCACTTTATGGATTAAGAATCTTCAAGAAGTTAGAGAAGAGTGTGCTTCAGCTGCTAAAAAAATAATTGATTTTTGTCAAGCTTTCTTTTATTGATTGGCAGCTTAACATTTATCAGCTCAAACAGCTTACAGCTGCCATTTTGTGAAGTGATATTTTAGAGGTCAAGCTAATACACCAGGTGGTTTTGTTTGCATTTCTAAAACTGATCTTTGCTGGGCCATCATAATCCGCTTTTACCTGCTTTAAGGACTCAGAACATATACATAGTGAAAAGTAATTATGCAAAGCTCTTCTCCTAGCCTTTATCCATAATTTCTTAATAATAATCTTTCTTAAAAAAGCAGCAAGTGCCCTGATGACATCTCTTTTGTTTTTAGTCAAAGAATTTTAACTATAATATTGCTGTTTCCTTCTCTCACTGCATCAGCAGCAGCCTTGAAATATGAACATGACCATCTAGTTAAGCATCTCTAAACAGGACCATCAAGTCAAGCAATTTTTTTTTAATCACCCCAAGAAACAAATATAACAGTATTCCAGAAATGAAAGATTTTATTTATAAGAGGTGTTTGTACTGACCACATGCCAAATTCTTACATTTTAAATGTGTTGGCAACATTTAGCAAGCTGTTTCCCTATGCAAGTTTACCATTTTTCTGTGCTATTGGCGGTGAACTAGCCAAGCACAAATACTGAAATGGGGCATAATAATAAAAACTTAAAGAAAAAAAAAAGGAGAAAAAAAACCCTTGAGAGCAGAGAACGCTGTGACACCAATGCCACGGACATCACAATGTATTCCCATAGTTGTGATAACAAAGCGTTACCTCGCAATATTTGATACACACTAACCCACATGGCAAACCCATATTCCTACACAACAAAGAGTTGCAGAAATAGATGAGAGTGAATATGTGTGTGCTGCTTGACAAATGGCATTTCTTTCAGTTGACAATTGTTAAAAGCACTTGATAACATATCTATTTTCATAGATAACATGCAATCTCTGGCATTGTTGTACACAGAAAGCGTCGGCTGTTTTCTATGTCTATATATTTATAATTACATTTTCATTAAACTGAATTGTCTGTCAACTTCTGATTTCAGAAGTCATTTTCATATTGCAGCTAAAAATGTTCTAGACCAATATCAAGGAATGACACGCAAAGTCAAAAGACAGGTGCCTCATCAGCTGTCAATAATGCTCCAGCAAGTCTGCATTTTAAGGGTAAAGAAGTTATGGAGAGCAAAACAGCAGATCACGAAGGCAGGTTTCTTACTGCTAACTAGCATTAAGAGACTGGCAGGATGTAGTTCACCCATTAATTTTCAGGTGTGGCCAGAATAAAGGCAGTTAACAGAGGAAAACAAGAGGACTCCTGCAACTGGAATCTGCACCGAATGCCCCTTTGGTCAGGACAGGGTCAGGACCGACAGGACAGATTTTTGGAGTGGGATTCAAAGGTCAAATCAGTGTCACAGCAGTGCTTACAGACTGGCATGTATGGAAATGGGGGTATTTTGTGGGCATACAGCTGACAATTTTGCATACATTTTTTAAAATTGCCTTGGAGTTGAGAATGGGAAACATGGAAACATAAATCTGAATTAATTATTTGAAGTATCAGTATAGCTCAATTCTCATTTATCTCCAGGGAGGAGGGGTTTCTTTTGCATTTAAATGGTATCCATTCAACTTCAGTGTATTTTACTTGAGCATGACCTAAAGACCTAAATCTGTTGTTAATTCAGATGAATTTTCCTGTTTGTACTTCATAGATAAGCTGTTAGAAAATCTTTAGTACATTAGTATGTTTGCCACCTTCACTGCTCCAAGTGGAAGTGGGATGATGTTTACTGAAATGCACAGACGTACATACTGTGCAGGTTACAATGCAGCCAGTACCCATTAGGGTATATTTAAGGCCCGATCAGACAAGCTGTGGTTGAGGCTGGAGATGATTTCAGTGAAGAGAAGTTACTGCTTGTATTTTAAACCCATATCTGTTCAGAGAAGCAGGTTTCTTCACTAAACTGAGGAGATGGTAATCTGGATGGGGGACAGAGGGGAGAAAAGAGCGCAGAGTGCTTGGCTGGAGACAATCTTTCATCTGAACCTTTGGCAGCTGGAACAGTCTGTGGTTCTACTTAAAAAAATAGCTATAATTTATAGTTAATATTTTAAATAAGTATGGTGGAAGTTTGTTTTAGATTGTCTCCAGTACCACGGGGTAAAACAGCCTCTGTTGCCTGTTAAAAAGATTAATTCTTAAGTGACATTCTAATCAAGTAACAATGAAATTGCTTTTCAGGCTATAAGTCCATGGAGACATAGGATATGCACTGCGTTTTGTACAGTACCTGGTACGAGAGTTCTTCTGCCAGACAGAAGCCCCTGTGCACAATTACAAAATAAATGATACATTTGCAATTTCCTCTCTCGCCTTTAACGGCCTATGTTCATGTTAAAATTACTGGGGTGAGGGGGAAGGCAAGTTATTTATCTCATTTTCCTTATAATAATTGAAAACATCTTTTATTTCCCTTGCTTTACCTAAATAACACAAAGTTAGAGGTTTTCATGCTTTTTCCCTCCCCGTCTCCTAGGAAACCGATCTCATGACCTTTAACATCTCAATGCACCGCTCTTGGTGGCGGGAACACGGGCCTGGCTGCATACGAAGGGTGGTGCGTCCTTCTGCCCCTGGCGTCCTAGAGGATTACTCCTACGTCTCCGTGACAGGCTGCATAATTGATTTCCAGTACCTAGAGGTCATTCACAGCGCTATCCAAATACTCCTCTCCGTAAGTTCCTGTTTCTTTTTGTATTCGGATTCCAGCAGTCCTTTCGCATGCAGCCTGCTGCTCTTGGGTATCTCTGTCCTGAAAGGGGGATGTAGTAGTTGATGGATAGCAGTGCAGATTTTTAATTGTATTTTCAATTAGAGAATGATATTCATGTTATTAAAATGTGCACTGCTCTTTTCTCTCCTTATATCTCGTAAAGCACTGTACAGGCATAGTCCCATTCTGGCCTTTGCTGGGACAGGTGAAAATTAACTTAAGTTCTTGGCTCGCGTTCACTGAGACTTCTACAGCAAAGGAGAGCAGACTTGTCCAAAATCAATTTGCCTAAACCTTTCCGAATTTCACAATCAATGGCGGTATTTTTTCAGCCCTGAATGTAAATATATTTTACGTGATACGTGGCCAGGTTTCTTCCCAAAGTGAGATATGGATGTAACACTTGAAAAAAGTGAGAGAAATATTAGGAAATAAAGTACTCATTTATATTTAACCATGTTATTTGTTCTTTTCTGGAACTCTGTGTTATCAGAATGTTCTACCTCCGTGATCCACATTTTGCAGTTGCAATACCAGTCAAAACCTGCAAATACAAGAAGTCGTCATAAAAATCTGCAGTGCAGGGAAGTGCTGGGGCTGGATGAGTTGCTTTGGGAGCAACAGCCCAGTCTTGGCCACAGCCTTTCCTCAATCTGATGGCTGCTTCTGCTTCTGCTTAAAACATTGTTTGGCATGAGCTGCGTGTGGTGTCCTAGAAGTGGTAGCTCGTTCTCTACATAGCTGTGTGTAGTACATAGCAACCGGCCCACCCCAAGTGGGTGCACATAGGTCTGATACACCCCAGATGTCTGGACCTATTCTATGCTCATGGCTCGTGGTCCTAACCATGGCCACCAGTACTTGTCAGACAGTGGGAAAAGAGATGTATTCTGCAGTCCACACCTACTAGTCAGGTGAGCTACCTGGTCTGAGCAACAAGAAAGGCTGGTAAAAATTTTAATTTTTACATTTTTCAAGGTAAGGACAGTTCTCTTTTGAAAGAAAAAAATCAGGGTATATGGTTACATCTATTATCCTGTCCAACTGTCTAGAATGAAGTAGTCTAAAAGTTCAAGATAATTTCTCTGCATTACTAAATGCCTTTTGTAAGATGTCAAGTGCTTTTTCCTTGCCACTGCTTTTAATCAAAATTTGATAAACTTGTATCTTACAGCAGTGATTAATGGACTTCCACTTGACAATCCAGGTCTGAAATAGTGCACTTGGTTAGCGCACCAGTGACATCACATGCACCTTCACAAGCCATGTGTCTGCTCCTGGCCTATCAGCTTCTCAGGTACCAGTGACATCACAAGCACCTACACAAGCCATGTGTCTGCTCCTGGCCTATCAGCTTCTCAGGTACCAGTGACATCACAAGCACCTACACAAGCTGTCTCCTGACTGTCATTCAGTCAGGCAGCAAAGACCAAAGTCTTTTTGAGTCAGGATCTTTTCCAGTGAAGACAAAATTACTTCTCTTGAGGCCCAGTCCTGTGTATGTCAACATACCTTATAATTTTTCTGTGAAAGCAGGCCTTGCAGAAGAATTTTGCACAATATGTCTACAAAGCTTAACTGAATGCACCTTCCTTACTCTTGTGGGGGCCTGATACTCAAAGCAGGTTGCTTCTTCTGTGAGTTCTTCATTTGCAACAAATTCCCTTGCAATGCAGTGTTGTTCAGTCTGCTTCAGTGAGCCTGTACAAGGGAAACTGAGGTGTGGTTGGTTTAATAGAAGAAAACCATAAATATTTCCAACACTTCCTCACTTCTATAGGACAAAATGTATCATGTTAGAAATTTTTCTAGAATTTTTGTGATTAGAAACAAATTTAGTGTTCAGTGGAAATACAGCTGGTTGTTGAAATCAGGAACTGTTTTCTTCTCGGCTTATCAGTGCAGTACAGTTCTGGTAAAAATTTACCAAATGACAGGAACACAAATATTAATATTAGGATAATAGAATAAAAAAATTAATATGTACAAACTAAAAGAAATATGAAAATGGAAAAGTATAAAAATGATGTAATAATTATAAAGCATAAGATGTCACAGGCCCTCCCTTTCTTCTGGAGTGATTGATTGCCTGGAACAATCATAAATAAATTCTGGATGCAATTCATTGCAAGTTCAAAATATGCCAGGAACTTACAAGGCTTGACTGTGAATTAAATAGTTACCAGTTTCAGATACTGCTTTTGACTGATATACACAATGTTGAAATTAAAATCCCGTATGCAAAGTAAGGTTTTCCTCCAGTCTTATTATCTTGCTATCCCATCTGTGACGCATTATGATTAGTGTACCATGAGTCTGTACTTCAGTTTCCATTCTGAATTGTAATTTAGGCTTGTTTAATTTACTGTCACACAGGACAGAAGCCACCACCTAGATTATCAGACTTGTTGCAGGTTCCTCCCATTTTCTGAATACTGTTGACCTGAGGAAGTTCCCATTTGTTTCAGATGCATCACTGCTTTCCTAATTGGGGTACCAATTTCAATTGTTAGTTAAAAGGTCATTTAGGTTGTCTTTTTACAGTACTGAAGAATTGTAGATCAGAAGAGCCTTCTTTTTTTCTTTTCCTAGTAGCTAGTCCTAAAAGTAGCCTATTCCTTTTTGGACCTTACAACCCACTTAATTTTCATAACATTTTTATGTAGCAGTAGTAGCGTAACAAACCATTTTACAGTGTAACAAAAACTTTATTGGCATAACAAATCATTTCATCATACTAACCTTTGTCCAAATGACTGGGAAGGTGAGCGCTTCCATTTGGTAGGGAGTTAGAGCCTCTGTAAGAAGAAATCCCTCCAGGGGTAAATATTAGATAGCTGTCGAGATATATAACTCACTAGCAGCAGTTCTCCATTTTTGAAAGGTGACTTTTTATTGAAATCTTTTTTTTTAACTGGTATAAAAATTTTTATATGCACAGAATGCTGCAGCTGTGACTACATTAGAACCTGCTTCAGGGAATAGGCTCGACATTCATTTATTTAATTCTAACATAGTAAGGCTCTTTTTGTATTTGCTTTATAGTTGTTTCTAAAAAAAAAGTATCTTTTATTGGTGAAACAGTAACTTTGTATCTCATCCTGATTCTGGGTGCCTACTGAAGTCATTGGGAGCTGAAGGTGTTAGGCATTTCTTTACATTGGGGGAAAATCAAGAGAAATATGATAGAGTGGGATGCAATTCATAGTAAAGAAGAAATATATTTAAATTATGTGTTTAAACTCTACATTTCTTTGATATGTAGGGAACAGTACATATTATTTTGATGAATAAATCCTTCCACACAACACCTTTAATTTTAAAATGCAAGGCAGATCACCTTTACTGAAACCTGAATTTTTGGAGAACAAATGGATATTACAGTCAAAATGGTGACAGTTTAGCAACTTTGAGAAAGACCCTTCATACAGTCTTTTTTGTTATTTGAAAATAGATAATGCACGCTGAGACTGTTAAATGCCAGGTAGACACTGGGTTTTAAAGCCTGAGATTTAAAAAGTTCTCCAAGTGATTGCAGAGAATTTTGTATTAGACCATGAGCCTAATACCATAGTAAGCTTGTCCACAGCTACACTATCAAGCAGAGACCTCCCAAGCTAGGGTTCACTGAGGTAGCTCTGGAATTAGCAGCCATATAAATTCATCGGCACTGAAAAAGCAAAACAAATTAATTTTCCAGAGCAACAGGCTGACACAACTCGACTGCTTCTTGGGACAGGAGCTACTACCTTCTCACAACACTGCATTGCACAAGGTGAGGTTAACTTTCTGTCTGGGTCTCATCACATTACTCTTCACTGTATAGAAGAGCCATACCCAAAATCTAGAACTCTCAAGGAGGGAAAAAAAAAATAAAAGAAAGAAAGAAAGAAAGAAAGGATGAAAGAGAGGATGAAAGAAAGGAAGAAAGGAGGAAAGAAAGGAGGAAAGAAAGGAGGAAGGAAAGAAGGAAGGAAGGAAGGAAAGAAAGAAAGAAGGAACCCTAAACCTGAAAACATGCAAAACATTCAAGCTGTTTGACATGTTAATGCTGACAAACGGAGGACATATTGAAGAAAAGGACTGGTTTACTTAGCAGAGGTCCATCTGTTGCCTCTCATAAGTGTCAACTGATATAACCTGTGGGTGACTGCTGGGCCTACAGATGAGGAACACTCACAGAAAAAACACCCCTCTAGAGTCGCCTGGTTTTCACTACAGTGTAAAGCCAGGCAAAGATGTGATATAGAGAGATTAAGAGTACTGAATCTTTTCCATAGTGGACTTAAAAGCAGTGAACATACCTGCCTAAGGTAAAGTCAGGCACTAATCAATGCGGAATAACTTAACAGTAACACTACCAAGCACAAAACATAGCCAGAAAAATATATTACTTTCTACAGAATATAATGAAGTTGTAATATCACAAGTATAAGAAAAACCACTCCTGGCAGCCAAACTGGGAGTTGGATACTGTGGTCACTGTGAGTCTGAACAATTCTCCCACAGGATGGACAGACTATATCTATACACATAAATAAAGCATGCCAAGGAAACTGGGTACTGAGGCCAACTGGCTCAGAATAGCTCACGTCTCCACTAACAGTCTCAGTCTCCAAAACAGGCTGGTGCATTCAAGCCACCGGCTGGGAATAATCCCTGGGATTGTTCTCCTGACCAAAACTGTGCCTGGGAACTTTGTGGGGAGAGTGCTGGCTGGAGCAGGCCAAACTCATGTCCATGTAGCACCATGAGTGACAGCTTGCCAGTGCCAGGAACAGTCCCAGGCATGCAGGAATTCCCTCCTATTGATGCAGCTGTAGCAGGCAAATGTCCAGCCACAATTCATTCTTCAGAGTGGACCGAGGCAGGAGCTGGCAGGAATGGCCTATTTAGCTAGAAGGATGTAGAAGTCAGTGATTTATACCAATGTTTTATTTTTTAAATCTTTACCAGAGAAA